TTTTTTTTTTTTTGGTTGACAGAAAATGGGAAAACAAGAGGCCCAAAGGCAGACAAAAAATTTCCTTTATGTACAGATAATAAAATCATGCTGTAGACATTTTTACTCTAAAATGTATTTTTGAGGTCTCTTATGTTAAAAAGCATCATATAAAATATGCATTATAAAATATGTATTAGTATTAAATACATGTAAGAAGAGTAGTAGCTGCTCTAAAACCTACTGGAATTTTCACAAAAGTTGTTTATAAATTCCATAATATTTTGCAAAACATTTTTATTACACAAAACATTTTATCATACCATTACAGAAAAGTTTGGCTTGGAATTATAGGTAGAGCAGATGTTAATTGGCCATGCCCAGTGTTTCTGGAACAGTGACAGGACTTTCTTTGCCTCTGCAAATCACCCTAAACACACTTAGCACCTAGCTTCTCAGAGTGCCAAAGTGCTGCAAAATTCATACTTGACCTGGCCTGAATGTTAAGGTGGTTACTTATCTCATCAATAATAGCATTGAGGGGCACCTGGGTGGGCCAGCTGTTAAGCGTTCAACTCTTGGTACAGCTTAGGTCATGATCTCATGGTTCATGGGTTCAAGCCATGCACTGCGTTCCACACTGACAGTGTAGAGCCAGGCTCTCTCTGCCCCTCCCCGACTTGTGCACGCGCTCTCTCTCTCTCAAAATAAATTTTAAAAAATTAATAGTATTGATGAGATCAAGGTCATGAGTCTGACTGTTGTATGAACCAGTGTCATTTTTGTTCCAGAACCATAGCTGCATTTTTAGTCTCAGCTAGTTTTATCGTAAATGTGGGTCATCTTAAGGCCTCGAGGAAAGAATTTAAACTCACCACAACTACATGTGGGAGAAACAGAAACCATCAAAACACTCATTTAGAGAACTGTCTTTATATAACAAAGATTATTGGTAGGTGGAAGAACGGGGGGAACTACGGACACAAAACGTCAAGAAAGTCACAACTGAAAATATCAGCATAAAGCACTGAAATGGGTGGTTTCAAATGCTCACTGGAACGCTGTTGAAATTCTCAAGAATCTCTAAGAAAGCCCTACCACCGATCTCAAGAGCTCACTGAGAAGCTGCTGTGACTATCTACCCATATGTCTGGTTGCAACTGCCTTCTTGTAGGTAGAATATACTTCTCTGGCCCAATGTTAGGCTTGTCCATGTGAATTGTTTTTTGCCAGTGGAATGTGAGCAACTTGACTTATGCCACATCCAAGCACAAGCTTTAGGCACCCTCCAGGTCCTTGCATAGTATGGTTTGGTGATTCCTCCTGCCCTTTAGCATGAGAATAGTACTCCCAGGTAGGAGCTATTCCATGCCAGCTTCCTGCCAGGATGAGAAGAGTCAAGCAGAGCTGCAGCTGATCCCTGGACCCAGGAACAAGAAATAAGAGTCTGTCATAAGTCACTGAGATTTTGCAGTTGTTTGTATTAGTCTACCCCCAGGGAATACTACACAAGATTTTATATGTTCATCCTCTTTATGTATTATTCCTTTCTTATATCCATTTAAGGTTCTTTTGTCTTGAAGAATTAAAGACCAATTTTTAACTCCAGTTCAATTTCTTTTTATTAAAGTGCTTTAGTAGATAAACAATGTTAACAATAATTAACACAACTTTACTGAAACACTCACAAATAAAAATCCTCTATAAATCACTCAAATAATGTTCTTCTAAGTAGTAACAGTAATCACCATTAGAGGCTAGTTAATCTGAATTTATTCCTAACCACACACAAGGGTTCTCAGATTAGAAGATTCAAATCAGTTTAACATATGGGGCTGGCTATCAATACCCTGAATGCCATCCCAGCAAGTCAGCGAAAAAAATGTTGTGATTGGTAACTAATCACTTTTCTTGGTGTCTCAGTTTCTCCATCTGCACTGAGAATTAATCTTCCCTTAGAGAAGATTTGTAAAAAAAAAAGTATGAAATGTTAAAGCTTAGCATACTTATATGCCTCAGAAAGCATTCATGTGCATATTTTTAAAAGGGCAACTTATTTGTTCTTGACACAAATTAAATACTATATGGCTTTAAGAGAAATAGATTGATGACTGCTCTTTCCTTGAAAATTGTCTTTTCAGTTGAACCACACTAAAATAGATTAATAAGGTTCATATATGATATGCTCAGTAAATTATTTTGATTGCAGTAAGGATAGCTGTCCTATTTAGGTAAACTTTACAAATTATTTTAAGAAGTGTCATCCATTACTTAAACATTCTTCATGACCTTTCCATAAAAACAGAAAGCTGCTACCCTACAGCACAAAGAGGCGAAATCCAAGTTTTGGTTAGAATTCTGGTTTAGTTCCTTTGGATATCATTGGTAACTGTATCATGACTTCCAAATGAGACTGTGGTTGACAGAGTAAATAATCATATTTTTACTAGACCTCCGGTGCAATTTAAGTGGCCTGGTGCTATCATAAAAAAGATTCAGTAGTGTCCATATCAGTAGGGAGGGCATTTAAAATAAAAAAGCGTGAAAATATAGATAACATAACTGTGGGGACAGAAGAGAAATAAAATGATCCTGATTGAATCAGAAGCTTTTCTAAAAACCTTGTTTCTGTTGAGAAGTATGTGATTTTGCTGTAAAAGAAGTTTAAAGAGGTTGGTACATCAACCCCTATATTTTCAAAGAAATGTGCAATACTTTTAGATAGAAACAGTATTGCTAAATCTCCACATGACACTTTGGAACCACTAGCAGTAAAAAGGGAAAAAAAATCATTAATCAACATAGGAGATGAAAAATGGTAAGCTGTGATGCTCTTGCTATTCTATTCAATTAAAAAATAAATCGATCACGAGCACAAATGGACATGCCATCTCAATAAATAAAACCTCCTGTAGTTACTTGTCATTTTAAAAGTGAATTGGATGAAAAGGATAATTTTCTACAGTGTACTCCATCATTTGAAGACTGAAGTAGTTTCAGAAAAACATGATACATCCTTAGAGGAGGCCTATTTCATATTGGCTGTGGCAGAGCACTCCATGCACTATACAGGAATACACAAAAAGATAATTTCCAGATTCAACATAGATCTCTTTGGGAGTAGAGAAAAAACACTTTACACAATATACCTTACTATAACATGCAGTACTTAGGTAATAGTAAATCATCGTCCTCCACAAAGAAGGTGCAGGTGCTCTAAAATCATCTTTGAGATAATAATTTTAGAAAGAGGTGTCAAAATTTTAAATTTAAAATACAGACTTAATTTCAAAGTTGGTTTTGCCAAACCTCTCATAAGTCCTTGGAATCCAGCGTGAGCAAGAAGGAAATGTTCTCCCTATTTCATGACTTGCACCTCCCATTACCTATGATGAATATCATGAGTTAAATACCATAATAAACTTATTCTCATTCTTGGGGCCAGCAAAGGCTAGGCTGGTTCTAGGCAACACTAAAGCAGGGAGCGGTCCCACAAAAGAGCCTGTCCAGGACTGATCCAGCAGATTTTCAAGGCTACCTGGGCACCCAACTCACCCCAGGGCAGGTTGACCAATTTGTTGTGACTCAGGATCCTACCCATGCACTATCTCCAGGCCCAAAGCCCCAAGAATGGCCCTGCACTACACTGGATGTCCTTGGGCTAGGCCAGCTCTTCCCTAGACAAACACTCCCAGGGCTGGAAACAAAGGCCAAATGGGCAGGGTAGGCAGAGCACCATTTATTGGAGCCAACCCCCATCTATCATATGCTTTTTAAGAGCTCAGTCAGTGATTCTGGAGCAGCTCCTCCCAACAGATGGGCTGTGAAAACACCTCTCTCTCCAGCCAGAGCTCATATGAATAGTGGAAATCCTCAGGCAGATCCAACCTCTGCCCCAGCACACTCTGCAAGCAGTTATCCACAGGTGAAAATTCAGAGTCCTGGGGTTTGTCATACCGGCGGCTGTTAAAAGCCTCAATGTTGGCCCTCAAAGTGCATTCTTCTGCTTGGAAGTCCCATGGCCTGGCATCGATGTCTGTGTTGGGAAGAGAGGAAGAAAAACATGTATACAACTCAGGACACTGCTTCTCTTATCACAGAGCATGGTCTATGGAATAAGAACAATGAAACTGCTCAGAATTTCCTTTTTATGGGGGGCAGGCATTGTACAAAGTAAGTATATAACATTCTGCCACTTTGGTTTAAAAAATACTCTTGGGGGGGCGCCTGGGTGGTTCAGTCGGTTAAGTGTCCAACTTCAGCTCAGGTCATGATCTCACAGTTTATGGGTTCGAGCCCTGCGCTGGCAGCTCAGAGCCTGGAGCCTGGTTAGGATTCTGTGTCTCCCTCTCTCTCTGCTCCTCCTCCACTCATGCTCTGTCTCTTTCTCTCAAAAATAAAATAAACATTAAAAAAATAAAATAAAATAAAATAAAATAAAAGATACTCTTGTACATGCAGAGACTATCTTTGGAAGGAGAGTCTAGAAACTGGTAACAGTGATTACCATAGAGAAGGAAATAAGGCCCCTGAGGGAGGTGAACTTTTTTTTTTTTAACTGTACTTCCTTTTCATTATTTTACTTTCTCATCAGTTATGTGTATTATATTTTCCAAAATAGCAATTCAGTTCCTTTTACGGAGCTTTCCTAGGGGGATGAGAGTTTCCCATTTGAACGGAATCACCAGCTCTCAAGGAATGGAAAGAGGCAGGAAAGGGGTACAACAAGGAGAATCAGAATGGACCAATTATCGAAGACTTTACCTGATTCCCTGCGACCTCTGCCAGCATATGATAAATGTATGTGCCAGCTTCTGTTAAAATTATGACGTGAAAGCTTCCATGAAGATAAAAATAGAAAACAGATAATCTGCTATCTCTATTTATCCCACTCAGACACTTATTTCAGGGCTAGAGATACATCTTTTTCAGATCTCTTATGTCCCACATTCAATGGCTTATCTGTTTTCTTTTTTTTAAGATTTTATTTTTTAAGTAATCTCTAAACCCAATGTAGGGCTTGAACTTACACAACCTCAAGATCAAGAGTTGTACACTCTACTGACTGAGCCAGCCAGGCATCCCTTAATGGTTTATCTTTAAAGGAAGTACAGATTGGGTTTGGGCTCGTGATGGCAGCAACAACAGACATGTCATTTGCAGGATAAAACATTTTCGTGTTTTAAAAATCTACAAAAATTTAAATAGTTAATTGTGTTTTATGTCTCATAGAAGTTGTATCCTGGCTTGTTATCCACTAATCATATATTTCCCTTAGTTCTCTGGGTTCTTTACTGCAGCATTCTCTAAAATTCAGACAGGTTACAAATCTCAGCAAATATAAGTCATAGTCATCTTACCAAAAACTCTTAAATACAATTAGGCAAATAATGGTCAAATCCCACTACAGCGAGTGTCAAAAGAATGAAAAAGCTCTCCAAAATAAATTCTTCCAAACTCTAGTCAATCTATCATATCTTGATAGTAAACCAGATGTTATACTGTCTCCTAACATGAGAGAATATGCAGTTCCCAATGTTACCTAGAATATATTATGGCTTAAAAGCTTTAAACTGAATCCATTGAAACTTCAGACCTAACTTTCAGTTTACAGATGATACCAGAGACAGATAGATAAGGTAAATGATGACACAAAGAAGCAAGAAATAAATCCAGAAGGTGGATATTCTGCAGGACAACTGGCCTAGTTCTTCAATTAGTCAGCATTATGGGAAAAAAAACCCGAAAACAAAACACGGCTAAATTTAACAAATAAAAAGAATTTTTAATTCTGAAATTGGACTTATTGGATAAAATGAAAATATACTGATATGGAAGAATTCTGAAATTGGACTTATTGGATAAAATGAAAATATACTGATATGGAAAGATGTAGATAATGTTAACTGAAAAAAGATGATAAAACAGCATGTATAAATTGCTTTCACTTGAGTAAAATGTGTGTGTGTGTGTGTGTGTGTGTGTGTGTGTGT